TAATATTAACGAGGAAGAGAAGAATGAACAGGATTTATAAAGTTAAAATACTTCCTTAGTAAAAACACTTCCTCTAAATTCTTCCAAACACCTTTTGTTGCCTTGAAGAAAAAAAACGGGGAACTTCCGCCCTCTGCTGGCAAGAAACAGAACACTTTGGTTTCTTACAGCCTTTAGAAATTAAGGGAAGATGGGAGTTACTGTCCTCCAGTGTCTGAAAGCTGTTACTACACTTTTGCTCTTTTTAACCATCTAGAAGAGAATGTTTTAGCCTCCTTTTAAAGGCTGTCTGTTTCAGTTACAGAACGCAGTTTGTGTACTCACGTAAACAAACTGATCCACTGAAGCATATGTGTATCTACAAGGCTATAACTTGTTCACGAAGGGCAGATTTTTTACTTCTTTTATTCTGTCATGACACTTTGGCTCCAACAAACTCCCTTAACGGATGTTAATCATTGCCTTTGACTTAATCTATCAGCTGGAACCCTGTAAAAGTTAACGTTACTGTCCTTTTTTCGTCTACTTGTGCAGCCTACAGCGTTGCATGGGTTAACCATGCTAATACATTTGATTTTGCCACTATTTGGCTCAGTTTGTTCACAACCGAGAGATAACAACCGCCGTCTTCCTGCCCGCTAGCCAGAAGCTGGGGCGGGATCGTGAACTCTGCTCGCTGGCTAGCCAAGGACGTGTCTAGCGGTTGTTAGGGGGACTACATGCTGGAACTCCAACAGTCTTCTTTGCCATTTTCCACTCAAGGGCACAAATTCCCTATTCAACAAAAATTTTATTACAGAAACTGCGCGGTAGCCGTGAACGAGGGGTAAGCCTGAGCAGTGTTAAACCAGCTGTTCTCAAGTCCTTTGCCGCTTGGGTAAATACCAACTCTACAGAAGATTTTGACTCAAAATCAAACAAAAAAAAAGATGCTATCAAAACAATTAATAATCCACAGAAATGAATCAGCATGAAGAGGAAGAGTCAGGAACTAAATCCACAATCCAGTCGTTACTTTAATCAGTATTACACTTAGTTCTTCTTAAATTCAGATCAGAACTTTTCAGACTAATGATTATATTAAGGTTTCATTTATTTAAAGCTGGGGGGCTTTTTGTTTCCCTCCTCAGTGAGCCCCTACAGGCATCGATGGATTGAGAGCGGAGCTGTCACGGACCCGCTGTTGTGCCACCTGGGGAACAATGCTGGCTGCTTCTCCTGGATACAATTATTCTCCTAATGTCGTTGAGAACTTCAATAAGCCTTGGCTGAGCTCCCGTTTCCGGCAACACAATGACAGTAATTCGTCTTGTGAATATTGAAATGGAGCAGCTGTCTGAGCGAGCTTGTCATCACCTGGGATTGTTATTGTGGACGAAGGGTGAGAGGTCCATGTTGTTCATTTGTTCCTCCGCTGGCTGCAGGAGCACATCTGGCAAACGCGCTCACGTCTTTTTGCGTCTTGCAGGTGGAATTAGGAGGAAAATCAGATTAAAACCATGAAGGAGGCAGAGCAACGAACATAAATCCACAAAACTCAGAGCTGACTAGCTAACTGTTGACTTTTTTATAGCATCAGTTTCTGTGTAAAAAATGATGAAGTATGTGGATCTTTGAATGGCCTTCGTTTGAAGAAATAGTTTCTGACCAGATTGACAAGCTAACCCTAAATCCACACTGGGGGCATCAGCGGTGCGGAACGGCTGTGAGACGGTTTACTCGCGAGCTTCGCTGCGCATCAATCCTCACCGGGGGATCTCAGTCGCGGAGCGGCTTCTCAGCCGTCCTCCTCGCCGGACTCGCAAGATCACAAAATCTCTCGAGACTTCAAAGGTCACGGTTTGTTGATGCCATCTGCCATTAAACAAAAAAGAAGGAAGTCAAATTTGACATCACTGTCTGATGTCATATATAATGTTATTTCCTGTCTAGCTCTATGTTAACAGCGGAAAGTGATGTGTCGCTGCTCGCAGCAAAAATAGAACCCAATCCCATCTTTAGCGGCGTGGCGTGCTGCTTCTGGGATGCGCCTGAAATGCTCCGCACCGCGGCTGGTTTGCAACAAGCCCATAGACTGTAGAGCGACATTCCTCTGCTGCTCCGTGCCGCTGATGCCTCCGGTGTGGATTTGAGGTAGCAGCTAGCCAGAGCGAATGCCAAAGTGGATTCTTTCGTCTTTAAACTTCGGCCTAACATAATTACTTCAGATTATGTGAGTAATATTTTATTAACCTCTATTTTTAAATGGTTTGTTACAAGAAAACCTGTTTTTCCTTTTCAACGGACAATAACACTTCCAGAAGTGGAGTCTAAAAACCATCCTTCCATTTTTGTCCCCCCAAGGCACTTCACAAAGTAAACATTCCAATCGAATCTCCTCATCGGTGCACTGACTTCTGTTCGTTGTACCAGTTAGTGAAAAGTTTTCTATCTGAGGAAACCCAGCAGGTTGTGGCTTTACAGCAACCCCTCAGACTCCAGGGTGGCACAGCTGGATCCGTCAGCTCGTGTGACAGATCAGACGACGTAACAGAAGCAGGAGCAGCACAGCCAGCCTCGTTTGGTGTTTAACACTTAAATTTGGTCGGATTTTCATATTTCTGCTGGAAGAATCTTGGAATAAAATAAGTGCCAGAAGAGTCGAGGTTCATAAAATGGTGTTTGAGTAAACGGCTGTGACATTTAACTGTCGCAACGACCTTGCTGACATGCTGCTAGATTGTTTCTCCAGTCAGAGCTAATCTCCCATTGATCACTGAGGTCATTGTTCTCCAGGTTATTGGCAGTTCTTCACTGTAAAATCGGATCAGTTCATTTTACTTGAAAAAGCATGCAAACCAATTGCATTTTAAATAATAATAAATGCACGGGCGAAGGTTAATTATGTGCTGGAGCTCCTAATACTTACAAAGTCAAACTCACTTCATGTTAGTTACTATAACTAAGCTAAACTAGTACTTAGTACTTGAAAATTTGCTTACTGAAATTTTTTGTTGTATATACTTAAGTAGTAAACAGTATGCACATTTCTATGTACATTGTACTGGTTTGTCTGGTAAATTGCATTTAACTCGTTCACTGCCATTGACGACTAAAGTCGTCATTTGCATTTTTTTACTGTTTGAGCATCGGAACGAGCCCCCGCGCTGAGAGAACAAACATCTCAGCCCTGAAGCCGATCTTCATCCGCATACGTCACACGTCACATGATCAGGAAGCAGACCATCCATGTATTAGGAGATCGTTTTGGGCCGTTCCTGTAAAAAAAAAGTGAGGCGCGAACCGGAAAAGCGTCTGCCGATCACAATTCAACAATGGATTATGAAAGAACGGATAACGCTCAAAACACGCGGCTTCTTCCTGATGTAAGAGGTGAGTCTCCGCTTTGTTTTAGTTGTTTTGGCATCGACATCATGCTAGCGCACAACGTTCTGTGACTCTTAAAAAAAACTGTAAAAACGGTGAGAAACGCTGGCAGCGAAGGCCGTTAGCGATCAGGAAACGGCTGGCAGTGAATGAGTTAAATGTATTTTACTTTGTCTATAAATAGCCGTTCCTGTGTACTTAATATTTGGAGTGAAGTCCCAATGAAACCAAAGCTAACCAGTTTATGTTTGTTGGTAATGAAATCAGCTGAGTTCAGCTCACCTCTGCTTCCCAGAAGTCCGCCCAGATCATTTGTTGCAGGTAACTTGATTAGCTTTAGATCCAAAGCAACGGTTGTGGCTAATTACTGCGTCTTGCTTTGTACCACACAAGTCATGTTTACTAAAGCAGGACAATTAAGAGAGCTCTGCTTGCAATTAGTCTTTGATGAAGACGTACAGAATTAAAGTTTATGAGCCAGTTAGTGTGTGGTTGTTTTGAACCTTCGCTCGTTCGCCGTTCAAGGCGTTATTTGTTCTGTAAACAAACATAAAAAGCTGTAAAAAAAAATCACCAACAAGCTCCTTCAAAATAAATGTCCACTAAAAGAGAATTTTTATCCACATTAATCAATTTGTACTCAAACGATGAGACGTGATGAGACGTTTTGTGCATCCAGGCTAAAAAATCTCTACGACTTGGTTGTGTTGTTGATTCCACCCTAATGGAAATGTCCTTGATCTGTATCCAGAGTGCAGATGTGTGCTGCAGGAGGAGGAGGAGGAGGCGGCGGCGGCTGCTGACTGGTCTGTGAAATGCACACAAGATAACATGTGTGTTGGTATGCTGCACCCTTGTGGTGCTCAGCTGCTACATCTCTATATGTCGTGATAAGGAGGCAGCTTGGCTCTAAAGGAGAGCGATTCCATCTGTGGCATTTCACTCGATAAAAGGATCCCACTACGTTTTCACGGCAGCAACGTGCAATCCTGGGAAAACGAAAGCTCACAGCAAGCAGTGAGGTCTCCCCCAACAGACGCACGAATGTGGAAATGCAGCACATTAGCTCAGCTGAGATGCTTATCCAGACGGAAAGGAGCAGCCCAAACTTTCAGGTCAATGGTCCTCCATTAGGACGCGTCGAAGCGCTCGACTTGTTGCTCTGATCTTGTAGCGACATCTCCACTGTGCAGCTGTAATATTGACCGTCCAGGCATCCGAGGAGGTGACAAGGACAGCGATTGATAGGGTTTAAATGAGAGTGGAGAGGAGGATCGATTGCCATCGATTCCCTTTTCTTTCTCTTCCTCCAGGAGACTCCTCGCTCTTTGATTATGAGCACTTTACTCCCAATCAAGGCTGTGTGGGCTGGAAAAGGGGGGAAATCCCATGGAGGTATTAGCTCCATTTGTGAGGGCTGTAATTGTGAGCGGATAAGAGCCTAAGGTCAACACGCAGCAGGTACCTGCAAGCCTGGGTGATAATAACAGGGCTACCCTTCTTCCCACAGCAGTTCAGTCATGATAACAGACTCTCAGGGCGATTTCGCTCCGTGTGGATTTTTCTCGCTGCATAAGAAGCGTTCGTCTAATAATCACTCCACAGACGGACGGAAGGATAACATTACTCCTTGCTGCTTTTTCCCCCACATTTTTTATTGAAAGCTTCATCAGAGAGAGAAAAAAAGAAAAACTCATAAAACCCAAGTCATATCTTATAACATCTACCGATGTACAGATAATTTCTCAAAGATCGCACACGCAGAGCGGCGTGCGCGAGGCGTGGCCATGTCCTTCTCAGCACTGAAACAAACACAAAGTAAAAACCAGATAAATGAGAGGGAATCACTCTGCTGCCTTGATGTGTTTTCTATCTTGATAACCTCCATGGACGTAATTTTTGGGGGGGGGGGGGGACAGGGGGGACATGTCCCCCCCACTTTTTCCGAAGTCAAGTTTTCACCCCTGCACTTTTTACCATCCGAAAACAATATTACGCTATATTAAATTGACACTGGTTGAGCTCTAGGACCAAGCAGAAAACAACCGTTTATGTTGAAGCCTGTTTCCCATTAGAGCATACTGTGAAGACCCCCCCCCCCCCCGTGTCCACCCCCACTTCTAAAGTGAAAATTACGTCCATGATAACCTCTGAAGAATTATTTGGTGGATAATTTCCTAGCTGGATTGTTGTAAATGTTGTGGAGATGTCTGAGCTCCCGGGGTTGAGAAGCCAATCGACAGCTCTCATCTAAGGTGGACCGAAGCATCAATTAAAAGCCCAAGGCCTTATGGAGGGGTTGGTTTGAGCAATTTCCCCACTGCATGATGTGTGAGTGTGACTGTGTGAAAAAGTGCTGGTCTGCAATGAGTTATTGAGCCGCAGTTCTCCTCGACACTCTGCGAGAGGAACTCTGAACTCCCGTTTCGCAAACACGTGACAGTCGACGAGGAATGGCTTCAGCTCCGATCAGACCCTGTGAGTCCAGGAGCCGTGCGAGAGGATGAGTGCTGCTGTGGTGGCAGTGATTCTGAGAAATGAGGAGGGAAGGACAGATTTTCGAGGCAGTGAAAAAAGCACCTCGCCCTAAATGACACGGACACAAGGAAGATCCTCACCATGGCAGTATTTCCTCCAAATTTAAAAGTTTTCTCCCTGAAACTAGTGGGGAAAAACTCAGACGAGTTGAGATTTCTGACACCGGTACCGGCCAGATTTACTTCATTTTCATGATGAAATGTCATTTTTGCCACAAATGATTGCATAAACCATACTTCTCACCTAAATTGAGCCTAGTAGGGATGTAAGGGAGTACTGATGTACTGAAATATCACAACAGTGATATAATACTGAATCCATGTTTAAAAGCAGCATGTTGATTTAATGTATTTCTTTTGTGTGGTGCAACGCCAACTGCTAGGCGGCGGCAGGCTTTACCACCTTCTTTCTGACGGAACGACGACGATGACACTGGATGTGTCTTGGAGGCATCTGGACTAAGTTTTCCAACTAAATTATTCCTTAAAAACATCGACTAGCTTTTAACATTGCAATATATCGTATCGCCCCCTCCCATGAGGGACAGATTATTTTGCTGCTGTGGCCCCCAGACTCTGGAACTCTCTCCCCTGAGCCTGAGATCAGTGGACTCAGTGGTCTCCTTTAAAAAGCAGCTGAAGACTCACTTGTTCAAGCTGGCTTTTGTATGACCTTCTTCACCACTCTCTCTTTATTCTGCTCTCCCCACCTATTCCACCTTCCTCAGGATCCACTGATTTCCCTCTTTCCTGTTCACTCTCTCTCTTTCTTAACATTTTTTAATCACAATTGTCTATTTTTTGCTCATTTTAAATATATCCTTAACCATTTTCTAAATTTTTTTATTTTTACATTTTTTGTTTTTGTGAAGCGCCTCGTGATTTTTATCTTGAGAGGCGCTATAGAAATGATATTTTCTTCTTCTTCTTCTCCCGTATTGTGATATATATTGTATCGCCAGATTTTTGCCAATACCACCCCTCATCTTTGAAGCCAGAATTTTAAACCAAGATCCTTTAGCCATCTTGAATGAGGCCGATTCCACTGACACACGTTATAGACGCACAATCAGTTACGACTTTCTAAGTCTTACTGAAATGCTTCACTGGTTTTTGAGATGATGATGTTAGTGCTCATCAGAAAGACCCAGAGGTTTACAACATTCTTTCTAGAAAAACTGGATCATAACTTTAATGAATGTATTAAATGATTGTTAGTTGATAAATGCAAAGAAATCGGAAGTTTGAATGCATGTTTCCTGCTTTGAAGAGTGAAAAAGCGGTTTAATTCTCCGAAAAGCCAACAAGGACACTTGAAGATCCCTTAAAGACATGACTGAGGTAAGCGGACGCCTGGCAGCGTGCCAGCAGGGAAACTCAGGACAGAGTGAGGAACAGCGTGACGAGAATCTTAGAACTAAGGGACGAGACCGTTTGGAGTGATGGAGTGAGAAAGAGTGCATTCCTAATTAACGAGAGGTCATGCTGGTCGCCCCCTTGAGTCGGTTACCGAGAACTGTAGATCTGCCCGGCAACAAGCGCTAATGACCATCCTCTCCTCTTACCCGTACCCTTACTCTCCTGGCTCTGAGTTTGTGCTGACACATGAGCTGACTGAGGGCATATTTCTGCAACAGCCTTCTTAAAATTGCAGGCATGCCCTCTGCAGACTACCCAAAAAAGGCATTTGTATTCTGAAAAGGTACGTCATGCCATTGTGCTATTAAGAAAAAAGCCATTTCTGTTTGTTGGGTAATCTTTCAAATCTATGTGAAATATCAGTAGCAAATACCTGCCTTAACATCTTTTTCTCTCTAACCTCCGTTAGCAATATAAAGCTGATGTTCTTAGTTGTGCATTCATTCCATAATCCTGGTTATTTGTAATGCTGTTGCCCATAATTCCATTACTGCTGAATTCAGGGCCATTTGTAGGACACTCTGCTCTCTGATGTGTAACTCATAGGTTTTGAGTCCTATTAGGCTTCAAAACATCCTCTGTACCATAAAACAGCAGCTGAAAAACTCTGGAGAACTTGGCTTTAGCTTTGCTGCAACTGGAACCCTGCAAAAATGTTTAAATATATCAGGAAATCTCTTCATAGTTCTACATAGACACAAACTAGCGTAAAAATTGGTAAACTGTAGCAGCTCTGTTGTTTCATGGTCACACCTAAAATGGGATACAGAAAGCAGAGTTTGTACATGAACCTGAAGCTGTTAAAGACGACGATGTTGGGAAGAAGAGATTACAACTCCCAGGTAGGTAAATGCAGATGTTGTCTGGGAGATGGCAGAAGCAGCTTCTCACAGGGCGGGTGCTGCTGGAGACCAACTGAACAGAAGTTGTTTCCAAATAGTCTTAAAATGTTTGCAACAGTTCTTAATTTCCTTGTATGGGTCATAGGGTCTCACTATTACATTGTTGGAGTTTTTAATCCATTTCCTACCAATTATCCAAGGTTGCAGTAATCCCAAGTCCAGAAAAGTAGCCCAGAGGTCCCTCTCTACAGCTCCTCCTTGGGGATACCAAAGTGACTCTAGGACAGAGCGGATGGAATCACTTAAGAAAGTTCTAGGACTGACCCAGGATGTCCTACCAGAGGGACACAGCTAGAAAAGCTCCACAGAGAAGGAATCCAGGAGGCATATTTGTTGTCTCAAACACCTCAATTGACATCTTTGGATGAGGAGAAGCAGTGGCTCTACTCTCAGCTCTCTGGAACGATGAAACGTCTCACTTTCTCTCTAAAGCTGAGCACCAGGGGAAGCTCGCTATAGCGGTTTGTGTCCAGGATCCCATTACCAAAGGTGAGCAATGTAACAAAAACGGACCAGTAATACAAGATCTTTGCCATTTGGCTCTTTCTCATGCGGGACTCTCATTACTGAAGACAAGGCCCTGATCGATCCCACGGGAAAAATACATTCTAATTTCCTTCCTGGAAGTCGGCCTACATTTTGGAATTTAAAAAATATTTGCAAAACAAGCTTTTTACCAAGTCTTGTCTTAACACCTTCTCAGGTTAGTTTCTGTACATCAGAAAGTGTGACAAACTCGAGAATTTGGAGAGTTGGAGGTCTTTCTTGCAACATCGGACATTAGGATGTAAGAAAGTATCGATATACGGAAATATCGTGATATATTGTGTTATGATACTGAATTTTTAAAAAAAATTTAAAAGCAGTGGATTGTTTTTTTATTGGGACTTAAATTACAAACATTTACTGTATTTCTTTTGTTTGGTGCAATTCAAACTCCGACTGCTAGGTGGCAGCAGTTTTTACCACCTTCATTCTGACGGGACAAGATCTCACGATAACGCTGATGTGCCTCGGAGTTTTCTAATTAAAGTGAGTCTTAAAATTACAGATATCACCAGGCTTTTAGTACTGCAGTATATCATATCGATTCCTCATATTGTGAAATATTATCGTATCACCGGATTCTTGCTAGTACACACCCACTTTCTTTCAAGCCATCCCGTTAGCCATCTTGACTGAGGCTGACTCCAGTTGTAGACACACGTTTAATAACGCATTTCTAAGAGTTTTGTTAAATTTTGTTGAATCAAGAAAAACTGGATAATAACTTTACATGATCTTAGATGAGTATGCATGCAAACGCATTGCCAGATTCTTGCCAATACACACCCCTAGTTGGGTAACTATTGCAATTTATGTCACACACCTCATGTGACCTGGCGACGTAGAAACTCCTCCCACAAGCGCTGCAGATACTATTAAGTGAAAATCAGCATATTTTTCCACAATTTTGCCTCTCCAACTAGTCACCAACACTCCCAGCCCCGTGAGACACACTCTTTAGCTGATTTGACCTGGATAATGAATTCACCCACCTCCCTTTACAAATGGAAGACGAAACCGTAAATAAAAACAGATCTAATGAAAGTATGGCTTTAATTACGTTTCTCCCTTCAGGAACCTGCGTCAGCTTCTTTTGTGCAATCTCAAGTTATTTCAGAGCCATAATGATCAACATGGACCTTAAAGAGGTCACTGAAAACAGGACAGCTTCATCTTTAGCACCATTTGAACCGATTCTGTCTATTCTTCTGAAAGCTCCTCCATGTGCTTTGATTGAGTGATTACACAGAAAACATGGAATCATCTGGAAGGTTTGTTAAAAGGCACTCGATGTAGTTTGATTGTTGCTTAAACATGCACGATGACACGCTTTAGCTGCACGCCATCGGTAGAACAAACAGCACTTTATAGGCAACTGTCTCCGAACAGAAAGGTCCTCTTTCTCAAAAGGAAGGGGGACTTTTGAGGGCCACTGGAGTGGATCCTATTGTCCCAGAGGGAGACAAATTAGGCCCGTCAAGCCTCATTGCAAGAGTGACTGAAATTGGTTTGTGGTTTTGCTTTTGCACCATCCAATAAAGATGAGAAACCTCAGAGAGAGAGAGAGAGAGAGGGGAGAGGCGGGGATAAGGAGGGAGCCTGGCCATAAATGGTGCCAGAAGTCTGTTTTTTTAGAGCTACAACCACAGCTGGGGCAGAGCAGGAGGGCACGGGTGAGCAGAAAAGACACAAACAGGCTTCTGTAATGGGCCAGAAATGGCTGTGGTACCACAGGAAATTTCCTCAGGGAGTTGAAGTCACCGAATACCTCATGCAGCTCAGTGACGGAAAGATCAGTTCAGAGGAGACGGGGCTGTTTGAGCAACCTGTTGGGATAATGAGGGGTTTAACGACACTTGGTGCCGGGGCCGCGGATGAAGCCACTGGCATCTTGTGGCAGAACAGGAGCTCATTTGCTTCCCATTACCTCATGAACTTCATGTGAAGGTTGGCAAACGTTTGGAGTTTCGTGTTTACTGGTTTCATGCCAACAAAATCAATGGTTTAGTTTGCTTCTGAATGAAAGTCTTAGAAACATTTTCTAAAGTTAGAAGAAGTGAAAACTAATTATAAAATAATGTATCAGAAAAAAGAACATTTGAAGATGCGAGGTAGTAAATCGTTTACCTTTGACTTAAGCCTCCACATTAAAGCTGGGGTACGTAGTATAAACAATTTAAAGTGTGTTAAAAAATTTGCCTATCTGACCCAGTTATGTGATTTAAAGCTGGTCATCTGCCATCACTTCTATTTCCCCTGAGACCCTCCCCTGGCCTCTACAGCTAAATGAATCATTTAGGCGAGCCTGGAGCGTTGACCAAACGAGTCGTGAATCCCCAAGAAGGAACTGTCAGTCAATGAGAATATTCTCCACTTCATGCACTATGAGGTGACACAATTAGCTTAGCACACCAAGCTAGCTTGAATGCTAACTCGACCTGCATTAAATTCACGTCTGTACTCTTCAAGCTAACCGTGGAAGAGGAAGGCGGGGAACGAAAGGGATCATCTGTTATGTATTGGAACTAAGTGATTAGCATAGCGCTCAACCTTACGCTACATCAGCCTTTTGTTTGAACCTGTTGTAGCATTAGCGACAATTGCGAGTGTCGGATTCTTGCTAGTTTTGGGCGTTTCCCTGCTTTAACGCTGTAGATTTGACTAAAATAAGCGATGAGCTCGTGTCTGAGCAGGAACGTACAGAAAACATGACTTTTCCGTTAGCGACAAGATGATTTTCGTGCACAGGCGAGGTCAAAGTCGTGGCTTTAGCTCCTTTCAGAAGGGGAGGGGGAGCAAGGACAGGAGCTGTAGCCCTTCAAATTCCAAAATCTCCACCTCGTCTTGATGACATCATACTTCGAACCCCAGCTTTAAGTCCTAATGTTTATATTTCATGCATGAAAATGGTTAAAAGAATCATAAAATGACATTTTGCACCAGCTACTGGGTTGATCACTCTGATTTGACCATTTCATTAAACCACATGTTTTTTTTCCATTTGATAAGTGCAGATAAAGTTTATGCAATCATTTATCTAATGAGTTAGTTTAGTTTAGTGTAATTACGTAGTCACCTGCTGCACAATTTATAGCAAATTTAGCTTGATTTGCAACTTTTTGGATGATCGGATCAACAAATTTTCCTAAACTTGTTCCCTGCAGGATCAGAGAAACGGGGAGAAAAGAGGAACCGAGACATGGAACGACCTGTTAAACCATCACAGAGGATGAAGATAAAACAACAACAGTGAGCCACACCTTTAAATACTGTCTGATATGAGTTCACGTGTGTGTTCTGTGTGTGTGCCTCTACAGCATCTGAGCATGTGTGTGTGTTCATGCATGAAAAAGGAAAATGTAAACTGTCTGAAACCTGATGAAGAAAGATAGTAGGACTGGTCCGGCCGCCACGATAAAACAACCAAAAGAAAAAGAACGACCCAAAGGAAGGATGAGGACAACTGCAACAACAACAACAGCAAGAACAACATCAACATCATCAACAACATCAACATCAAACTGAAAAATGACAAAAGAAAACAAACAACTCTGGTTCAGAGTGTCCCTTCATCTTTGGTATAAAAATGGCCGTCCATGGGCTGCATTTGATCCACGACTAGGAAAGACTACAGAAATTGTCAACAATTTCTTCTATTGCTTTTGCACTGATTGGTTTTAACCAGAAGCTCCTATTGAATCTACTGCTTTTTATTTGACTGCCAGATATTTTTTCTCATTTTATTTTGCATTTTATACTTTTTTTCGCTTTATTTTTTTCTTCTTTATGCAGTGTGACAAGCAAAGCGGGCTAAAAACATCTTAAAGCTCATAAAAAAGGTAAAACGTGGCAGATAAAAAGCACTAATGACTCAACTTCTCCATGTAAAATGGTGATAACCATAAAAAAAAACGAGTTCTGCAATTGCAATAGACTGCAACAACAGTGCTGCATGTCCTCTTGTGTTTTCCTCATTGTGTAAAATCTCTTCAATGCTTTTAACCCCCCCCCCCGACAAACACACACACACACACACACGCGCACACACACACACACACACACACACACACACACACACACACACACACACACACACACACACACACACACACAGTCACTTCGTTTCCCTCCCAAAACAAACATTTTGTTCACGTCACTTAGTTACCTCTGACATATCAAAGTTTTCTTCTAATGAAGAAAAGAAAACAATTTTCTCTATTAAATCTGTACAGCTTATGTGATAGATTTTCTCTTTTTTTCCTCCACTCAGCACCTTGAACCCACCCCCCCACCCAAGTGGTCCAAGAGACATTTTGCTTTTCCCCTCAACTAGACGTCAGACTATAACTCTGTAGAAAGTTTCTGGCGCCCTTAAAATTAAGGCCATGAAGATTCAGGAAAGACAAAAAAAAAAAGTAAAATAAAAAAACACACTGAATATATCTAGAAAACTAGGATTTAACACTAGAACATAAAAAAGACTGAAAAGAAAGTGTAGCTTAATATCTGAGGAAGACAATCTCTGTGTATCTCAAACTGGACTCCTCTTTTCTAATTACAAAATAAACTTCATTGCCTACCAGCACATTCAGCCGTTTTTTTAGATTTTTTTTCTCATTTTATTAGTTTTTTTTACGTATTTTTTTTTATTAGTTGAGAATTTTCTTTGAGAAACTTTTCAAGCTTCAGCCCAGTCCTTAGGCAGGTTCCCAGACTAAAACAATTCCACGTCTTTGCACTGTGCCCAGTCATTTCCCCTCATCCCCTTCCTCAGCGCTCTTCGCCTCAGTCTTGTTTTTTTTTCTCTTGTAGGCCAGGTAGGAAATGAAAAAAGTGTCTCTTTTCTTTCTTTTTTCTTTTTTCTTTTTTTGGTGCCTGGGCAATCTGGAAGTAATCTCTTTCTTTTCTCTTTTTCCTCACATTCACAGTGCAGCCACCTTCTGTCTCAAGGCAACGCTGTCACAGGAACATTCGCTCAGGCCGTCTGCTATCTGGTGAAAGAGGACAAAACAGAGAGGATGGTGGAGCTGGAATCAAACACACGTTCAGCGACAGGCCTGATGACACAATAAAGAGCTAAAATGCTGCAGGTCTTTATATTTACCCATAAACTCAGAAGAAGACGTACCTATACCTCCAAAACAAATCCAAATAGATTTTCTTTTCAACATCATATGCAAGATTTTCACCCTTTTATTCAGAGAAACCCAAAAGCATTTCAAAGCAAAAGCATTGCACCACAAAGGGTTTGAATATTCAATAACTAAATTCAGCAGCTGCTAAAAATAAACTTTAGTTCAAATCTGAACTCAAGGCTTTATAACCATTAAGATTCCTTCAGATAATCTTTTAGTCTCTTATTTACTGAAATGTACCAAAACATTCATGCATGTGTTTGATATCAGCACAATGCAGTGGCGTAGACAGAATATTTTCATTGGGGGGGCTGATGATACTTTTTAGGGGGGCACATGAAATTGGTAACACTAAAATCTTTAGTTATTTTTATTTCAACATTTACTGTTTTAGCATTTTTCAACTGTTTATTTCCAGTTTTTTTTAAATAAAGTTTTCAAAGCAATAAGACAATAAATCTGGGAGACTGAGACTCGGTCTAGGACTCACTTGGACTGGTATGAGTAAGCAGGAACGTGGTCGGCAGCGCTGTCCACCTGCTGTCCAGCCACCTCCTGTGATGAAGGAGCCACTGTCTGGGGCGAGGCATCTGTCACCACGCCCTAATGGGGACAAACACAGTTTCAGCTTGTAGGGAAAAGGTTGTGCGACTGAAGAGGACGTAAACCTGTCTGCCTGATCCCTCGGGCGTACCACTGACCTTTTCATCTTGGCAAAAGTTTTAACATTTTAGATGATAACAGAGTCCTTAACTTCACTCAAAGTTTACAAAGGTGTTCAGATCTGTGGCATAACTCAGATATTTGCGTATGAAATCAGTCTGCTGGGGTGAAAACATCCTTACAGATGGCCCTGAGCTCTGAATCCATCAAAACAAGCCTTTAAGCCTCCTTTGACGTGCCTAGAATTACGGATTGCTCCCATCACAGAGTCATCTCAATCACCTTAACAAGCTCTCAAGGATAAGTCGAGCTGTCCATCTATCAGCCCTCCAGACAAGGGCTGATAGGGTGATATACGCCCCAACACCGACGCTAGCAGGACAACGGTGGGGATGAGGTAGAAGGCGCCGTGGGCTACTCTACAACTACATCCCTTTTATCCGGCCTACTTGCTCATCGCGAACATGGCGACTTTCTGAGGAGAGGGGCGACTGATGGTTGTGTCAGCGGGAACTGTCACTGTCCAGAGGCTGGGGGACTAACCAGGCCTCCGCTGCTGACGGATGTGGAAGCACCAACCAGCCCGGGCTGGCTGTGAGGGGAGGGGGGAAGGGGGCGGCAGCTCCTCCAGCGCTGTGTCTCACTTCAGCTCCTGTCATCTGATACACGACTGATAGTCCATCTGAATATGACCGCACTGTCAGCCGGCAGATAGCTCGCCCACTCTCCCTCTCTCCCGGCTGTCCGTACCGCCCGCCTGCCTACCAGCAACCCCCCCCCCCCCCTGTGTTCATCAATTCTCAGTGTGGACCGCCTGAACCTGCCAGGAGCTCAGAGAGCCGCTGAGGAAGTGAGGAAGTCTGTGCTGCACTTCAAATGTCTTTCTCAAATCCTATAAAACTTCTGACTCATCTTGCTTCGCTTGCAGGTTTTTGCCAGCGGTGCAAAAAGGCGATTTATTTAGAGGGAACAAGAAAGCGTCCCTGCAATCGGCCACCTGACAACTGATTTATTCCACAGGTGAGGTGTTTTTGAACGCCGATGTTGTCCTCTGTAGGTGATCTCTGCGAGTGCTGTGTGTGGTCGTGGGTCTTACTTCGACGGGGACGGCTGTTGGAGGCACAGGAGTGTACTGGGGAATGTAGGTCCCTTGCATAGGCGCCGCGGCAGCTGCAGCAGTCATGTACTGAAACACACACACACACACACACACACACACACACACACACACACACACACACACACACACACACACACACACACACACACACACACACACACACACACACACACACACACACACACACACACACACACAAGTATGCTCAGACACAATCCTTCTGCATGGTAATTCCTGAGACACTCATTAGAGTTACAAATCCCAACATCATATTAGAAAAGAAATGCTTCTCAGACATCAGACGTGGATCATAAATCCCTGGGACGCTCATTCAGTGTAATTATTCCCATAACCAATAGGAAAAAGGCTGCTTGTTGTTCCTTGCGTGTCCTGTAGAGGGCGCTAAAAGAGCACGTGTGAACGCTCAGAGGAGCGAAGCAGATAAATGATAAATCAGATAAATGTGCAGAAAGAAAAAAAAGGAAAAAAATATCAGGAGAGGGAAATGTCTTGCTGTCCCTCCAAAACTTCAAAAGGCAAGCGGAGACGCCGTCCCACCGGCCAACAGATGAAAAATATTAATATTAGCAGTAAAAAGGGGGTAAAGGTGTGTGAAGCCCGTGGCTAATGCTCCTTTAGTCATGCCTACTCTGCCTCTGTAGCGGGTATTTCACAGACCTGACAGGTTTGGTCACATGACAGCCAGCAGACTTTCACATGCAATATGAGCACACACTCTGAGCTGTGTGTGTGTGTCGACCAGGATTTACCACTGTGCAAGCTTAATTAGCGCATGCCTATGCATAAAAAGGTGACCTATCACAAGCCAGTGCAGCTGTGTGTGAGATACATACATCACATGCTTGTGTGTGTGTGTGTGTGTGCGCGTGTGTGTGATACATACATCACATGCTTGTGTGTGTGTGTGTGTGTGTGTGTGTGTGTGTGCGTGTGTGTGTGTGTGTGTGTGTGTGTGTGTGTGTGTGCGTGTGTGTGTGTGTGTGTGTGTGTGTGTGTGTGTGTGTGTGTGTGAAAACAGACAGGGACAAAGAGACTGATGATGTTTAGTGCAGGCGGATGTGATCCCAGATTGAAGCCTTCCAGAATGAACAAAAATAAAAAAAGAACCAAGAATCCCTTTCCTTTGTTTTATTTCCTCCTTTGCCTCTCGTGATCCGGTCGAAGATGGCAGCAGGAGGGAGTAATGGACGGGATTATGGCAAGGCTTTCTTGGCTACGGGCCCGGCGACGCTGGTGAAGTGTCATTACCGGCAGCGTTGCTAATGGATCGGGTACGGCTCCACCGCTCACCACTAATGAGAGCAGCTAAAGGCCACGGACACGGGTGATTAACTCCCCCGCCGTGGCTACACGGAGCCGGGAGGATGCCCCGGGATGGATGTTGGTGTGTCTTCATACGCGGGTCTTTGAATTTAAGGTTATCACGCCTTCAGGGCCGGGGTGAGGCAGCGAATCCAGACCTCCTGACACATTACCCTCCCCACGTGTGTCACCCCCTCCTCCCTCTCCTTTTTACTCCTCTTTCAACCTTCTCAAAGGGGCCTATCAGATTGCAGAAGTGACCTTCTCCCCGGCGAATCAAAACCATGCATACCAATTTTCCCTGGAACTGGAGGTTTTCACCTCTCCTCCCCCATTAACTTATTGAGTCAACTCACCTGTGAGGGCTGCGCGGAAGCAAATGAAGGAAAGTAAGAGATAATTGGCTATTATCACAATCTCCCTGTCGCGGGGAGAATGTCGGGTTTGAAATGTTAGATTTCTCTACTGGACGGAAAAAAGGAATTTAAATCGCTTTTAACGAGGAAATTTAATAAGAGTTCCCCTTCTTTCACGACTGTTAGTTAACCTATTTAATATGGAAGGTTGAGCAAGGCATAATTCTGCCATAGCCTGGGCGGCAAAGTCAGGGGTGTGAATTGGGTTGCTATGGTGATGAAGATGATTCTTAGTCTAATTTCAGCTCCTTTAATACTTCCTTGTCCACAGTCAGGGACAAGTTTGGGTATTATAAAGCATCTCTAACTAGTGATAAATGGCGTTTCAGCTCTCTCTCTCTCTCTCTCTCTCTCTCTCTCTCTCTCTCTCTCTCTCTCTCTCTCTCACACACACACACACACACACACACACACACCTGCAGCAGATGGTGGGTGCATATATTTGATGAACGGGAGGCTTGAATAGCTCCTTAACCAGGCTGGTGTGAGTCGACTCTTTAAGCCTCCTCTTTACCATCGCTCTCCGTGACACACACTCATGGCTTTCCGAGGAAATTCGCACCGCAGCGCAGCAATGCCAGGATGAAAATCCACTGCGTCCACAGAAATACCCCAGTACCACGGTGGTTTGGGACTCAGCACCACAATAAGACAATTTATGTACGGTGGCTGCGAGGCGGAAGGGCCGGTTTGGGCTTTGAGATTTCCGCCAAAATGAGAATTTCTTAGAAAATCTGCTTTTTTTTTTCAGTCTTCCACATTTATCTGTCTTCTTCTCCTCCAGAGTTGCACCATCTAGGAGGTTAAAGATAACAGTTGACCGAGACAAGAGTGTCCACTTTCTCCGTGTGGGGTTATTAATGGCGGCGCAGCGTGGGGGGTGGGCTCTGATGACTATTGATCTGTGCTGTGGGTGTCTAACGCTGTGGGAACTGTTGGAGGGAATTACAGTGCTTCTCCACTTTACTAGGAAAAGCTCCAAACACCCTTGCCTCTGGGCTTTGGTTAAGTGCTCACAGCGATTCCTGCCAGTAAGGTCCCTCTCTAGCTGCTGGTTTTACAGGAAACGTGTACATCTGTGGATGCAAATAGAAGCCCGCTAACTGCTTAACGGATCTATTTTCAGTCTGTAACTGCGAGTGGACTGGTGTATTTCTATATGAGCTCAGACTCACTGGTGCACACCTGCTTAGCAAAACTTTACTTTGACGTTTAAAATTTTGTTTATTTTTTTCAGCTTTAAAAAAAATAAAATGTGGTGTGAGAAGCAAGCTGACCAAGTGAGTCTTTGACATTGGGAACCAGCTTGTCTGGGGCACAGATGAGGATCACAGTCTTATCTTCATTCAGCTGTAGAAAGTTTCCAACCATCCGGGTTTTAATAGAGTCTAAGCAGGTGTGTAACAGCTGCAGTTTAGACATCTTGTGGGGCTTAAAGGAGATGTACAGTTGGATGTCATCTGCATAAAGATGGTAGGCGTTTCCTTTAAAGGAGCTCAGGATGTGCTGCAGAGGGAGCAGATAAATGAGGAACAGTAGAGGCCCCAGCACAGAACCTTGTGGGACACCGTGGGTGAGGCAGGTGGTGGAGGACCGAAACTTGGGAGACGGCCACAGAGAAGGAACGCTCAGACATATAAGAGGAGAACCACTCCAAAGCACTTCCTGATAGGCCTACCCAGTCTCTCAGCCTCTCCAGTAGCAGGTGATGGTCTACAGTGTCAAAGGCTGCAGTCAGGTCCAGCAGAACCAGAACAGAACAGTCCCCTGCATCACTGTGAGTCAGAAGGTCATTAGAGACCCTAAGAAGAGCGGTTTCAGTAGAATGAGCTCTACGAAAACCTGACTGGAAGCTATCATAGATGTTATGTTCATCAAGAGCAGCTGTGAGTTGTTTAGCCACAACCTTTTCCAAGATTTTGGAGATGATCTTGTTGTCAGGGTGGCACTGGCCCACCCTAGACCCCCCTAGAACCGCCCCAGTGACATTTACAAACAAACAATTATTTTTAGAATTTTTTTCTTTTTTGTTATCCATATTTTACAAGCGGATTAATCTTTGACCCCTGAAACACAAATTGCCTAGAAAAAAATTAAAATGCTATTAAAAAAAGCAGTTCCTTGTTTGAAAATGGACTCAGGTACCTTCCAAAGCGTTATTAGGAACAACCCCCCAGTCTCAGGGGCGGGATGAACTTCCATAAAAAATCAACAAGTAATATACTGTCATTAAAGTCTCGGAAGACCAACGAAAGCAGCTCAGACAATAGAAGAAAGAGCTTCACAAAAAACTGTCTTCCAGGGATACCGCACCTGTCAATCACAGCCGTCACCATGACAACATAGTCCTGGGTTCTACTTGCTTTGACGGGAATAGGAAGAGGAGCACAGAGGGAAGGTCACCTCCTGTCATGTCAAACATTGAGTCGTTCACACACAAAGACTCCGACAGGCGTGCGAACACACGCAGACACCGACGACGTAACCATAACATCTGCACTTCAACACGGCGTCTGACCGGCGCACACGGCATGACAGACAGACTCCTGATAAGTGCTGGGGCTTCAGAGACGGTAAATTAATCAGAGACGGAGTAAGATGCACCAAACGTGGAGTTGTAAATCAAGAAAGACGGCATGTTTATGTGTGCCATCCATAAACTGTTGGCCCGAGGTACTTTAGCATTCTGTAATCAAGCAGTTTGGGCCAAAAAAGACACCAAGACAACATTTTTAGAGAAGCAGCCAAAGTCCAAAGCAGCGACCATCCGGCACCAGATCAGTTATGAAACATGGGTTTCCCTGTTACTCCGCTTAGAGGCCTGACTGATCCTCGCTGCAGAAAAACACGGCGTTCTTGGAAATCTGCAGTCACCACACCAGTGTCACAGCTTGGGCGGACAGAGAACATTCGGCTTCTCTCTTTTGGAGGGAAGAAAGCCACAGCCATAGAATAACAGCCGCAGCGATCCTCTGAACCGCCGAGATTATCCTGAGGTGTGGCTTCTTCTGCCAGGAGGAGTTGTTGACTCTGGAGATGCTGCTTTACTGCAGGTGCTCCTCTGTGGCGAGGACAAGGTCACGTGACCATCAAAACAACCTGGCCACATGTGTGAAAGCTGGAGGAAAGCGCTGGAAGAGTGAGCGGTGTCACGTCCAGTTTACCACACGGATAGCTGCAGGTCCTGGTTCCTGGGATCTGTTTTCAACAGGCTTTTCCAATTAGATGAAAGAAAGGGCTTTTACATCTGGCTAAGAACCAGCTTTACGGGAAACACGTCTCAATCCCCGCTGATGATTGAGAGCGGCGTGCTGCGAGCCGCTCAGCCATAGAGAAGTTATGCTACACAGCACACCGCCTCAGGAAAGCTAAGCAGGCAGAAACAGGAGAGGCGAAGAAGGGTGAACCAGACACGAAGAAAGGGGGAAAAAACCCGCCTCAACCCACTTTCTACTATAATACGACCCATCAAACATCAGAAGCCATCATCGTAGATTAGCTTGTCTCTAATCCTAGCTGTTGGCACAGCTGGGACAGATTAGGAAGGAAGGGGAGGGGGGACGTTTTTGACAGAGCAAACATGGCGTCGCAGTCGCTGACAGCTCACCTGGAAACACATGGGTAACTGTACAATACAGCACTGTTTCAATCACAGATCAAACATCACGCTGGAGCAAAGCTGTCTGCCCCAAGGCAGCGGGGTTAGGGCAAAGGGTCAAGCTCCAGACCGCCGGGACACCTCTAAGTCCAAGTGATCCTCAAACAGTAGGGAAAGGGGGTTCAAGGTTTGGGGACAGCCAGAGAGGGGGTATGATGGGGAAAGCTGATGGAGGGATGCATTTGATGTGTGATTTAGAGAGTGGGGGGTGGGGGGGGGGGTGGGGGGGGGGGTGGGGTGGGGGGGTGGGGGGTGAGAAAGAAACAGAAACTAGAGGGTGAAAGTGAGGAAACGGAGGAGCCTGTTCAACCACTGAGCCTCACAGGAAATCTGTTTAATGCAGAAGATTAGGGAGGAAGTACGCTCCTTCAGCGTCTGCCGGTGAACGCACGAAGTTTACAACAGCGGCTGAGCACATGTGGCGTCGGTCTGAAACACTGTGGATTTTAAAACAATCTTCCAGCATTTTTGTGTCTGAACCAAATTAAAAAATACTCCAAGAGATAAAAAAGCCTCCAACTTTTTAATCTTGACCTAATTCTAACAGTGCAATTTTACAGAAGTGGTCACGCTTGCTGATAATCAAGTAATAAAGTGCATTTAATTAGCAGTTTTTGGCTACTTACACTCTTAAATTTCAGGAAATCAAAAAGGTTGCACTTACTTTTTCACACGCTGCTTCTTTGTGTGACTTCACTTCTACTAAGTAAACACTGACGAGGTGTTAATAAGTCATGTGTTGTTTATTTTAATTAGTATTTACTAGATATTTAAAACATTTTTTGCACTGACTGGTTCAAAACTTAGAAGAAAATAAAAAGTAGTTATTCGAAACTGAAAAGATTTCCTACACAAAAGATTTTTGTTTTACAAATGGAAAATGTTCTTTGAGCCTCTGTATAGCATACAAATCTTTTTTGGGGCTCACAATGACCCAGGAGCCCTCAGAAATGGCCAAATACAATCCCATAATTAAGCCTTACATAGAAAGACAGATTTACCCCGCCCACTCGTCAACGACATGAATGATAAATGATCTGCATGGTGATTGGCCAGTTAACCCCGATGGCTCTATGACACGACCTAAAGCTGGAAACTGCTCTCTCTGTGTGTGTGTGTGTGTGTGTGTGTGTGTGTGTGTGTGTGTCAAGCCCCCACAATTCGGCTCTGAAGGTGAGGCCAATGCGGAATTTAAATAAATTGCAGTTCCACCCTCATCCACTAGGGGCTGGTGTCAGAAGCGAGCAAATCCTCATTAACTCCCATGTTAAAAATACCAATTTCACAGCAGAAATAAACATGTTTACAGCCTGGTTCCAAAACACGTTATAGGTTTAATAGATCTAGTTTACACTCATGACAACTATGAGGGGGGTGAATTTTTTTTGTCACTCTTCTGTTTAAGTGTATTAAAAGCCTAAAATTCTGAATAATTAAAGAGTATCAGACCCATGTGACCGCAGAGCAGGCTCCGTGGAAAGGCCTCAGCCTGAGCCTCGGCCTCGCCTGAAAACTGTTCCACGATTTTTAGTCTCTCAACTTAGACCATTAGTTGTGCCGTTTGTGTATTCTTTTTTTGGATATTATTTGTGCAATTGTTGGACAAAATGAATTGCTGTGGCATTAATTGCACTATTAGAGCGTCCAAGGAGTCTCCATATCATTTTTTTCTGTAAGTAAAATTATATTTATGTATTTTAGGTCACTGCCGCTCTTGCACTAGCTAAGCTTAGATTTTAACATGCACCGTTTAACCATGAAATTTAAATGTAAAAAGGTAAAACCCAGGGCATTTAACATATCACTGCATTTTAGAAAATGGGTTGAAATATAACATGTTAGTGGAGCTGGGTTCCAACTATCGGTGTGGTCCCCTTCCGGCAGCTCGGCGCACCTCTGATCGCCGCGGCGCCTGTCTGCTGCGTGGGCTGCCGGCTTGTGGAGCTCTCGGATGGAAACCGATGTTTTCCACCTGGTTCTCCCCAGCGGCAGCTCTGTGCATCTCTGATCGCAGCGGCGCTTGTCTGCGGGCTGCCGGCTTGTGGAGCTCTCGGGAGACCTCTGTCTTCCACCTGGCTTTACCCAGCGGTCAGCCCGGCGTATCTCTGACTCAGAAGCTCTGGTGTTGTGCACAGTTAACTCCGGTTGTAGCTAGGTTGCTACCTCCGTTAGCTTAGCTCCCACCTCCGCATTAGCTTCGGGTTAGCTTCAGGTCAGCTTGTAGCTACATTAGCTTCAGTTCGACGGGTGTCATCATTTGATCCCAGCCTTACAGCCCCACCCTCAGCTCCTCCTCTCTTCCCTTTTGTGGAATTTTCAGGGCTTAACGGAACCTGTGACATGGTCAAAATGGCGGTGATGGCCACCTCCCATTTTACCTCAAAAACTTATTATTGGAGCCTATGGAAACCCACTGTCCATATATATATGTCGATGGTGTGTGTGTGTGTGTGTGTGTGTGTGTGTGTGTGTGTGTGTGTGTATTTGAGTGTGTCCGTTTGTATGTTTGGCAAAGGATTTGTGAAACGAGTAAGAGGACATAGACCAGAAGCTATGGATCTATTTGATCTGGATGTTTCTGGGATGTGAACGGTGCTCTAAAATTCTTCTTGTTGTTTTCCTCTCATTCAACAAGGACGTTTGCAGTAACTGAAGCTAGCATTAGCCACAGCTGGGTTTAGCGTAAGAATCGCTTGAGCTAGTGTTAGCAGAATCTCAGGCTAGCATATCAGTAGCTTCAGATTGTGTTAGCAGTAGCTCATGGAGACATTAGCAGTAGCTTGGACAAGCATTAGCAGTGGCTCAGGAGCATTAGCTGTAATTTAAGCTAATGGTAGCAGTAGCTTGTACTAGCGTTAGCAGTGGCTTAAGCCAGCTTAAGCTACTGTTAGCAGTAGCTCGGGGAAGCATTAGCAGTGGGTCAGGCTAGTGCTAGCAGTAGTTTTGACTAGTTTATTCATGTGTTGCTGACACTGAAGTGGGTTGGGACATAATCATTTAAAGGTGTTTGTCTCTGCTTATGACGTGTCACTGCAGCTTTTCTCTGAACAATGGCACAAACCTTTTGGTATGCTACATTAGACACTCCAAGCTGTCTATCTTTACAAAACAAGGTACATGTGGTTTAGAACTCTAGGACACCATTAAATGCCTTTTATAAATCAATATTTATTTTACAACCAATAGTTTTGGGACTTTATTGACGGGATTTAGATAGTTAAAATGGTTAAATCAGATTTCTGGAGTGCATCTGTATTCAGATCTTTGTGCTGTAAACAACTGGTGTACACATGCATCTGTGACAAGTGGAACTGATTAAAATGTAAACAAACTGACTGATTTTAATAATTATGCAAGTGAGGGTGAAGTGGGAGACATTATTTTTTTATTGATCTAGAGGTAGTTCGTTCATCTTTCAGAGAGAGTTAAAGGCAGAACTCCAGAAGAAAAGTCCAACAAAACCTGTTTCTGCTCATAAATCTTGCTGCTGTGACCACACTTTAATAATTGAAGCTGCCCTGTGGATCAGAGACGGTCATCATTTCTTTTTTGTCTGTTTCTAAGTTCCTCGGTGACGACTGTGGCAGCTACATGAGCTCATGTGGATCTTTTTTGTGTGATTCACTGTGACACGACGAGGAATACTCACACTTCCTGTAGTGCCCAGAGACAGATGGTTCATCTGCTGGGTGAGAGGGCCCATCATGCTGGCAGGCTGCATGGCCATAGTGTGGTCCATGGCTGGCGTGATCACTGCACCCTGGATGAAGACGATGACAGGAGTAGAAGAAAGAAGACAATGATGAAGTCAAGACTGCTCGAGTTCCTCCAAACGCGTGAGCTTCATGCGATCCTGATGGAGTTCCAACGTGAGTTTGAGTATTTTGAAGTTCCACAAAGTGGTTTCAACACCTGATGATGTTCATGCATTTTAAATCATTTAAGATATAAAAAGAAACATTTAATACTGTAAAACAGTGATAATCAACTGGTGGCTCCTGGGACATTTACGTTCCTCAAACTCATTCAATCTGTCCTGGGGAACATTAAGCTATTAGTAAACACACAGAGCCACTAGGGAGGCTCTCTCACTCACTCACTCTCTCTCTCTCTCTCACACACACCCCCACACACACACACGATATGATGCACAGCATGTTTTCTCTAATGGGCGGATGGGATAAAACTTTTTTCACAGTGCAGTGAAACACGAGGGAAAGTGATGAAACCACTGTTGCTCTTTCATCCTGTCATGATAGCTCAATTTCCTGAGTACTGAAGCTTTGGGAGGAGCACATTCAAACCGGTCCTTTTCCTCTGCTCCACTCCCCTCTTTTCTGTGTGCGCGTGTGTGTGTGTGTGTGTGTGTGTGTGTGTGTGTGTGTGTGTGTGTGTGTGTGTGTGCGCACACCACTGGTGGCTCTGTGTGGGCCTGTTGGAGAACAAACTGTGCAGACACAGCCTGTCAGAGGCGCTCTGCTCGTCTACATCCTGCACACACAACAGTCAGCTAACTCTTTCTTTTCTCCCTTTTCCTCCTCTTCTTCCGTCTTCCTGTCTTCCTAACTCAGCACGATTCCTACTGGAGTTACGGACAGAATCAAAGGAACTGGGTAGAAAATACTCTTACTGCACAAACACTTAGGATGTTCAAATCATTATTTCTGAAATGCAACAGGTAGCAAAATGAAAGTTACTCTGTGAAAACACTTTAAGGTCAATTTTCTGAAAATTTAAAGACTAAATATCCATTTTCTTTGGTGATCAGAGAGAGTTAAAGGTTGCTTAGAGCGGTGAAATATTTTTACTCTTCAAGTTTCTAACAAGGACCAACCAAAAGCAGTACTGGGAACTGAAGCCTACTCCAATTGTTGCAAATATGGAACATAAATCTTATATAAAACAACTCTGACTACAGAAAGCGTTTAAAAAATAAAACAGTTTTTTTAAATCAGACATTTGGACCTTCAAAATGCCAGCTAGTATTAATATGGTACTGACATATTATTGTTGATTATACTACTACTACTACTTTTACTACTAATACAGGGCTGCCACCTCTCACGCACTGAGCGTGAGACACACACATTTCACCCTCTTCACACGCTAAACCAGAGCCTGCACTCCCCAAATGCGCATCACGCACAGTGCGTAGGGTTTATGAAAGAAAAAAAAAACAGATTATATTAATTATAGCATTAGCTACTGAACAACAAGCACACAAACAACACTTAAGTAATAATTTAACTGGCGTTATTTCACACACAGAATCCCATCTGTATAAAGCCTATGCGCTTTTTCCCGCTCTGGTTGTGAGATGGGCGGAGCGGTGAGCGCCACCTGCTGTTGATGGAACAGGCATGCCCGGTGTCGGTACAGGATCTGCTCGGGTGCAAGATCGGCTCGGGGTCCTTCGACTGCCGATGACGTCAAAGTACGGCAAACCCATTCGGACAAAATACACTACACATCTATACTGTTGGAAAGAATTTAGCAGTTTATTAAAATAATATTTCTTACAATGTAAGTTTGTGTTTATAATGGTATTTGTAAAATAAAACACTATACCGTATTCATAATGTTGAACTCCTCTTTGAGCACATCCCTTGAAGGATCATAGGTATTAGCAACGCCTGTGAAATTGTATTTGCAGGAAAGAAGTGTGTCCCGTTTACTGAAGTATTTTGTGTTTAGTTTTTGACGTCTTGTCCATGCGTACTTCAGTTACGCTCATAGCTGCTAGCCAAAACTCTGGAGTTAAAAGTTTTCTGGCTTTACTAAAATACGTGTCTGTACTTATTTGATTGATGGTAGTTTTACTTTCTATTAGACTCCAAATGTAATCATTTGGCACGTTTCTAATTCATAATTTGTAAGAATGTAATCAGTGATATTAGCGTTAGCATTCCTATGGGGTTTTCCATGTATATTAGCATTGTGCTAAGCACTCGCTGCCAAATTGCAGCCTTTGTGATTAGACAATCTCCTTTTGTCACATCGCAATTTAATTGCACATGCAGTTAATTGTTCAGCCCTAATATACATGCAGCTCTATGGTAAAAGTGTATTTTCAAAGAGGTAATGATGGATTTCTTTGTAAAAGTTGTCCATCTTTCCAACAGAAAAATTTGCCTGGACCAACGTAACGTGATAACATAATGTGATAACATAACTTCCGTAAGGTTCATGTTCAGCCAATCAACTACTTTGACGTCATCGGCAGTCGAAGGACCCCGAGCCGTTCTTACACCCGAGCAGATCCTGTGCCAACAACAGTTCTCCCAGAACCGTGAGCTGCGGCTGCGCGCCCCGCCAAAATGACATGCTCTATTTAGAAATGCAGCCGCGTCGCCAGTCGGTGTTGACAGAGCTTCAGTCCCAAATGTTTTTCTTTTGTTTTCACTCATCAGCAACAGATCCTTGCTCACAGCAAGCTGGGCTGTCTACCGTGGTGACTCACTCACATGTTCCCTCTCCTACCTGTTTGTGAGACGAACCCCTCCTCCATACTTGTACGGAAGCCTGAAAAGGCCAAAATTCCTCAAATGTTTATTTTCCCCCTACTGACTGATATGAATTAATATAATAGAATAAAGAAAATTTTATTAGTCCCACAGTGGGGACATCCACTCATTACAGCAGCACACACACTTAGAAAAACAGATTACAGTAAAACTGAGATTCCAGCCATGTTTGTTTTCATAACTTCAATAACTTCATGCTAATGACTTACATGAACATAATCCTCTGTTTAGTGGAGTCAACTACATCATGAAATTAGCTTAACATGATAGATTATTTTCCTTGGCAGAAAATAATAACTGGTAATATTATGAATGAAATGATATTGCCCACCCCTAGATGGAATTTTAAAACATTTACATTAGTTATAATTAAAAGTTCCTGTGTGACATTTGTGACATGTAGCTGTAACTCGTTACTGCAGATGGATGGATGGATGGATGGATGGATGGATGGATAGATAGATCAAAAATTTGTATTAAACAAAGGTCAAAGTCAGAGGGTGTGGAAGAGGATTAGGGCCACTGAAAATAAATAAATACATAAAAAACTAAAGAAACAGAATTCTGACTTATTTCCCAGAATTCCCTGTCAGAATTCCGAGATTAAAAGTTAGAATTCTGAGAAAAAAGTAACAATTTTCTTGTCTTTTCTTTTCTTTTCTTGTCAGTGGCTCTAATCCTCTTCCGTACAGAGTAGAAATAAATAAAAAAAATGTAGAGCACACAAGGTCTCAATATTAATAACCCCCCAGTCTAAACGGTCGGCGAAATGTCCACACCCAACCCCATGACCCCGTCTCACTCTTTGAAATGTTCAAAAGTTGGCAGCCCTGCTAATAATAGTAGGATCATTATTTATAACAATTATGATTTGGTATTTTTTCTGCATTCAAGAATATACCGTAATTCCCGGACAATAAGTCACGACTTTTTTACACACTTTGAACGCTGCAGCTTCAACAGTGATGCAGCTAATTTATGGATGCTTACGTGTTTTAACCAATATGTCGATGACTTTTACGAGACTCCGGGCCAAAATGATACTGACAGTGACAATAAAAAAGACTAAGAGTCTGACAAAATTATTCTGTTCAATTCCGACACCGAAGAAGAGAAGACAACTTCAGTGGTTTTAGGGCGCAGGCATACCGACGCTGTTCCGGCATTTTTACGGTATTTTTTTAACAGCCGTTTTACAGGCACTGTTTAGAAAAATGTTTTTACTGTATGTATTTATGCATGTTACCTGTATGTATTTGATAAAAAAAAAGGTAAAACAACATTTTTTCTGTATAAATATCTCATGTAGATTTACAGCATGCACTACAATGCCTCCGGCTTATATTCAGGTCCGGTCAATAGTCTGGAAATTACTGTAGTAGGAATTAAAACCTTTACCCAAAATTTTGCCATCAAGAAATTCATCCTGTTTAAAAAAAATCCTCCTTCAGAAGAGAAACAATCATTAATGCACTAGTAATTTGTTTGCAATAAATCATTACTGCTGTATTTCTAAAGCCAAATCTCACGGGGCTGCAGCAGGCTTTCACAAGGATTTGCAACATAGATGCATAATATCCTTGCATATAACTCACTTTAAGCAGTTTCAATTTAGTTTCAGTTTGAGAAATGTGAAAATGAGGGTAAAATGCACATTATTCAAGATATAATTCTCTTAATGATTCAAAACCTGCATTATAGTCATGCAAGTGTTTCATTCTACAGGTGCTGGCCAGTAAATTAGAATATCATCAAAAGGTTGAAAATATTTCAGTAATTCCATTCAAAACGTGAAACTTGTACATTATATTCATGCAATGCACACAGACCAATGTATTTCCAATGTTCATTACATTTAAATTTGATATTTATAGGTGACAACCAATGAAAACATCAAATCTGGTATCTCAGAAAATTAGAATATTCTAAAGGCCAATGAAAAAATGTTTGTTTCTCTAATGTTGGCCAACTGAAAAGAATGAACATGAAAAGAATGTGCATGTATAGCACTCAATACTTAGTCGGGGCCCCTTTTGCCTCAATAACTGCAGTAATGCGGCGTGGCATGGACTCGATCAGTCTGTGGCACTGCTCAGGTGTTATGAGAGCCCAGGTTGCTCTGATAGTCGTCTTCAGCTCCTCTGCATTGTTGGGTCTAGCGTATTGCATCCTCCGCTTCACAATACCCCATAGATTTTCTATGGGGTTAAGGTCAGGCGAGTTTGCTGGCCAATCA